ATATCTCAATATTTTGCAAACGGTTGTGGCAGATTTTCTAGATGATATACCTTTAGACCAACTAAGGAAGTGTTGGTATCAATTAGACGGGGCTCCACCTCACTGTCACAATCAAATCGATCAACAGCTGACTGAAATGTTTAAAGATAGATGGATGAGACGCCTAGGACCGTGGAATTGGCCAGTGAGGTCTCCCGACCTCACTCCCTTAGATTTTTATGTTTGGGGAGTAATAAAGCAAAAGTTTATTCTAACCCGTTGCTTCAAAAGAGGCTTTGATTGCTCGAATACGAAGAGCGTTCCATGAATTGCCTGCAGCTGAAATAGCAAAAGCGGTAACTGATGGTGTTATCTCTAGAATCCACAAGTGCTTAGCTATTAGTGGGGGTCATATTGAACGTTTATGACTTTTTAAGTCATTTTTGTTTATCTTAGTGTATTATTATTATCAACATACATAATTAAAATTGGTATTACTATGTATGAAGTTGTGATTTTTTAGAATTCTTCTTAACTTTATTCTGCTCATTGGTGGAAAATTGGGATATACATATCATTAAAAACTGTAAATGTTCTTCTTAGAATCCCATTGCAACGTCTGTGAATAAATAATAGTAAGTAACTGGTGACAGTTTAGTTGTTTGTTTTGAAGTTTTGCCAAAAATTCCACAGCTATCCTCACAAGAAATTAAATGATTTTAGGTGATTACACAGAAAATAATAAATAACTGAAAAACTAGAAGCGATAGGTATAGGGAATCCTGATACCGTTCGAAAGAGAATAAAATTGTCTATCAGAATATAGAAAAACATACAGGGTGTTCCATTAAAAAAAACGACTTATGATGGTTTGATGTTAACTAAACTCGGCATTAAATTCCTAGCACTCTGTATGCAATTAAGGCACTTTGAAAGTATGGATGGGAAGCTTAGCGGTCTAGCTATCCCCGCTATAAATATTGTTGCTTTATCTTTCTTACTATAAAATACACATGGTTTGAAAATAGTCACTGTTTCTCTCCATTTTTTTGAAAAAAATTAAATACCTTGAAAACGGTTAATTTTAGGAATAGGGAAACTTCATAAATGTCCACCCAAAATAACAAGTAGAATCCAAAATTGCAATAATACATAGGGTGTTCCATTTAAAATAAGCAAGTTGATGGCGACTTCCGGTATAACCGGAAGTGGTATATGGACGCCATTATTTTAATTGAGAAGAGCATGCCCGAAAACCCGATATCCCAAAATTTCAAAATTCAAATCGAAGTAGTCTCTGAAATAATTCTAATGGGCCGTCACCGTTAGACACCCTGTATAGTGTGTCCACGGATGGAGTTGAGAAGAGGAGAAACTTTTTTGTTTTTGACTTTATCAAAAAATGTCACTCTTTATAAAAAGTTCTGCCTCTCGAAAAAATGAGACTGTCATACAAACATCTTAAATTAAGTATACAGGGTACTCATACATTAAAAAAACACGAAAATACTCAAGAAAAAAGTACCATTATTTATTATTTGTCTATAGCCTCAAATAATGTCCTAATACAAATTTTAAAATCAAGATTCAATTTTCACTTTTACTCTACATAGTGCTACCTCCCACCTCAACACATTTTCCCGCTAACTTAATAAATTTTTCGTACACTTTGCACATGATAGGGAAGTAAAAAGTAAAGTAAAAGTAAAAGAGCGCATACGAGAAGGAATAAATGAATTAAATGGACCTCAGAACTTTTTATAAAGAGTGATAATTTTTGATAAAGTCAAAAACAAAAGAGTTTCTCCTCTTTTCAACTCCATCCGTGGACACACTGTGTAATTGAAAAGCCAAAAAATGCTCTATTTGCTCAGCTTAAAATTCAATATAGCGCCCATAAGAAGAAAGAAGGTTGCTGATGGTTTCACGCAAACGAAACGTCGCAATGAAAATCTAAATGTACAGTGATATTCTTCAAAAAAACTTGCTGTGAAAAAGTGTTTCCAGAATTTAAAAATTCTTCTAAAGAAAAAAGTTGCAGGTGATCTTTTCAAAATAACTCAAAAACCTGAAGAACTAGAACCAATCTACATGGGCCATTAAGTGTACAACAGAATTGTCTAAAACTTTCTCTATTTAACCAGTTACCTATGTGTTATATTTTCTCAGATACATGCATCACGAAAATGGTCCACACTGTATACAACATAGATGTAAAGCTATTAAAATTTATTTAATGAGGTTACTTGCATCAGCACACTGAAATGCATGTTGAGACTTGTATATGCGTCTGTTGATGATTTTTTGAGAAGAAAGGTATGTTAAAATAACGTATTTATTGCTTAGCGTGCTGGATGCAGTGAAGTTCTTAGTTGTGCATTACTGAACGTACTTTCATATCTTAAATCATATACGTTCTTGTGTAGTCGCCTTAAGGAATACCAATCTCGGTATGTTGTCAATAAGCACGCTGATTGTCGGAATCTGTATGAAATGGGGTTTACATTTTTGATGATCGGTTTTACATAATGTGTTGCTCAACATGTGGGTGCGTTAATCAACGGAAAAGGCAGATATATACCGCCTTAACATCACGCATTTGTTTATATTCAAAGCGATGTTATTTACGTTAAACTGCGTCTCTCCTTAATCTGGCAAATATTTACTTTATGTAAAACGCATTTACATGATCGGTATAACAGCATCGCTTAGATGAATGCTGAATAGAATCTATTGTTCAGTAATTATTCTTCCTTTTCCTTTTTGTAAAAAATCCACGAACTTTTGAGATTTTATAAATATTTATCAAAATTGTATTAGAGTTATAAAACATTTTAACTATTATTTGTTGGTAACGTGTGACATAGATTGAAGTTAGTCTTATTTTCTAAATAAATTATAATACAGTGCGATAATTATGTGAATTTTTAATATATTTTTATATACAGGGTGTAACTTTATGTGGGGGGGGTCAGTTTTTCAAGAGTAATTGCACATGTTCCCCTGAATATGAGTCTGAATTTTTTTTTTAATCAAATAAATAGTCAAGTTAAATTAGTTTTTAAAATACACTTTAATTCTTGTGTACGCCGCCACTGTAATATTCATGTATCACAAATACATGAATTGTTGGCAACCCACAGTGCATGCGGAGGGAGATAGTGTCGGTCAACGGTGACAAAGGGAAGGGAAGTTGTTCCGCATTTGAAGAAAGTACATCTAACTGTGAATTTTAAGTTAATTTTTAAGTTATATTTAAACAGAATATAATTCATTATTAAATTCCAAACCGATTTGGCATCCTGAGGTCTACATAGTTAAAAGTGGAGATTATGCGAGCTTTGAAGTGTTATAAAGTTCATGTCAGCAAACAGACTATTAATTTTCGTGTATTTAATTTTTTCGTTATTGATTACTGCTTGAGTTTTTTGCGAATTTACTTGGTTTTTGTAGCGAACACTCACTCATTCTCGCGGCTAATGCTGTGGCTCGGCGTTATTTGAGGTTACACTAGTTTGTCCAGCGGCGGGGTATGAAAATTACTAAAAGGGGTTAAAAAAAATTAGTTTTTACGATCGAATTAAACAAAATATCTATTGATACGTGTTTCTAAACGTCAAAAGAAGCCTCTGTAAAAATATGACCCCAACTCAAAGTTACAGCCTGTATATTATTATTTATTTTTTATGTATATTTTTCCGTAAATACATACATGATTCCTTAGATACAAACAAAGCGAGTTTATGATTCGCAGATTTATACTAAAGTGGATATCCACTATTATCGGTTGTTGTTGATCCTGCCAATTTAGGAACATCGGATTTAACGAAGTTATCATTCCGCCCTTTAATATGTATTATTTTGAGTAATTTTGATGAACCCTACTAATCAAAATAGTAATCTTTTCTAACTTTACTTTAGAACTACATATTTTATGTTTAAAGTAGGTAATAATTATAGCTTTTTAGATAGAAAATTGTACTGGACTTTATTAAAGTGTTGCCATCAAAATAATCGAAAATTTGTCAGCATATATTTATGTAGATTACGATCTTGTGATGTTAATCATAAATATATACACGTTGTTCATAAAAATATCGCATATTGCAAACTATTCTCTGAGAGAGATTAAACTTACGCTTGAACCATTGCCAGTAGTCTTAAAATAGTATAAATTGAATACACATCACACCATTAAAAAAAATTAGTAATGATTTACAGCACCATTCGTATCCATTAATAGTAAACTAAAATAATTTTCAACATACCTTTTTCTGTTTTGCCCCATCCACTTAAGTAATACTTAGATGGTACTGCAACATCATCCTTAGAGAGGCAAATAGGTTGCACAAAATCTGAAATAAGGTAGATTGTTATTCGTCGCGTCACACTAAAAAAAATACGAGTACAATATTGGAAGATTAAATTTGCAAAAATGGAATAATACTAAAAAGAACACAAAGGAATATGAAGTATAAAACAAATTATATTTTTTTTACCTGACATTTTAGCCGCTCTTTTGAGATGGATAATAGCGATATCATTGTATTGCCCTAAATCTGTAGGATTATACTGCGGGTGGTAGACTACCTTGGCAACTCTTCTGATCTGATTTGGTTTGGCGCATACCTTATCCGAACAATCAATTTCTGTTTTAGTATTGTGTTCTCCCAATACAACGACCTCTCTGAAAAATAATGTATAGATATTATTACTGAGAATTTTGGAATTTAGTCGGGTATGTCAGTCAATTTAGCTAAGAAGACTCTTTATTCAGTTCAAGCTTTCGAACACTTTATTGTCTCTCCCTCAAGAACTAAATGTTGAGGTTATATTATAAAAATGATAACGCGACGAAACAATGATCCATGTCATGAGTAAAAGTTTTTTAAAAGTTGCACATTAAAATCCTGTTAAAATTTGACAAAAAATTGATAAAACTATTATATTTTTAAATTTTGTTAAAATCTACTTTTAATCATTAAATTTAGCATTTTTCTGTTGTTTGGCCAATTTACTAACTTATTATTACGAAAAAAATATACAATTTCCACCCGACCTGACAACATTTTAAGGTATTTGTGATTTTCTATAGTTTTTATCAATTTCACCATCAAGTTAGCCCTGGACAAAAACAATTAGCTTAACAATTTTAATTTTCTTACTGTTGGCGGATAAAGGATAACTTATACATTTTGTTATTTGATGGCAAACTCATGGCCGACTAGAGTAATAAAAAGTAAAATTCGCAAAATTAAAGGGGTTTTGCTAGAAAAGTGGAAATATTTCCGAAAATAGCGATTTTAGGCATACGGTATTATTTACAAAAGTTGTAGGTAATTAACATATTAATCCAAAAATAAAATAATATAACGGGTGTTCCATTTAAATAAATCGAGAAAATGTCCTTCGAAATTCGCTACACTCTGTACAAAATTATAGATTTTGCTATTTTGTTGTTTGTCCACATCTTTGGTCCGCATGTCTACAAAATATTTTTTCTTAATTGCTGATAGTATCTGCACAGTGGATAGATTTACAGAACCCTGGCCCAGCGAAAATTATCTTATTTTTTCAAATAACTTCGAATAAAAAAACAAAAATATCGCAGGAAAGAGAATTTTCTGTAGGATACTAATTTGTAAAAATATACAGTGTTCTCTTTAAGAAAAAACACCTTAAAGATGTTACGCCCTAATGCATCACCACGGTGGGCAGGAAGCAACTTTATTTCGCATAAAAATGACGGCAAAAACTGAACACGGTGATGTATTTGTACTTGAAAATAGATTCAAAATCAGTTTGAATTGAAATCCTAGCTACTCCTGTTTGTAAGATATTCAAATTTTTCGTTTTTTATAGCAAGAATTTGTGATACATACAATATTAAAGAATCACGGTGGTTAAAAACATTTTTTATGCCAAATTTTGAAAAAATAATGAATTATACTATGAAAAAATACTTATATATATTATATCTATTTAGTATAAAATATTCAAAGAATATAAGGCTGGGCATGTTTTTGTGTGTGAGGGGCCACTCATTCACAGGCGTCTCTGGACGCCTCGGACATATTATATATACAGGGTGTCCGGAAATGATGAGCAAAAAATTCAGGGGATAATTCTAGACCGAAAATAAATGCTACCTCTTTCTATAACATTTTTTCCAAAACTGATTATTAACGGAGTTACAGGGTGTTAAAGTTAAATTTTATTTGCTGTTTTTTGCAATACCTTTCGCCACACTCATAATATTTTAACGAAATTTCGTATATGGGGGTTTTTCGGGATGAGGATTATAAATTTTCCCACCGTTTTTTCGCATTTTGTAGAGGGCGCCACATACGATCCTTTATTTTGATTTGAATAGTTCCAACTTTTTTGTGCTACACTTTATGCGAAATTTGACTCAATATTTTTGTTCTCCTAACCTTTTGACATAAAAAAGGTATACTTTATTTGTTTCGATAAATCTAACCGTTTTCGAGAAAAACGCT